CATCTGATCTTCCCAGGAGCTCCTCCTCCTCATGATCAGTCTCTGAACTGTTGAGGAACACTCTCTCATCAAACTCACCTTCTTCTAACATTGCCAACTCATAAGTCTGCTTTAATGAACGACTGGAGGGAGAGAGAGGGGGAGGGAGGGAGGGAGGGAGAGAGAGAGAGAGAGAGAGAGAAGTATATATAAATGTACGTGATAATGTGAAGTACATGTACAGTATAGTCTCTCTTAATGGACACTCTCTATAGCGTACACCTCCATTTAATGGACAGCACCTAGTGTACCAATTACATTCCTTACTGTATAAAATAACCTCCACATAAAGGACACCTCTGTATAACAGAGACACTTTCACAGTGTCCATTATATAGAGGCTAGTCTGTACTAGACTTTGCTAGAATTACAAGTACATAATTGTTAGAATTTCCGCAACAGATAAGTAATAAAACAATTTGCTTAAAAATAAATTCACTCCTCTCTTGCTCCACCCACTTTGCCCCGCCCACTCACTAATTAGTTTGAAAGGTTGCTGATTGTATTATGAATGTGAGTAGATCATGAGAACTGAGTTTGTGGGTTCCTCTCAATGAAGTACCAATGAGTACCTGAGACTCAAAGAGACGTCTCACTGAAGGCCACCAGTAATAGTCTCTCACTACCAGACACTCCCTCTCTATCACTGGAGGAGATAATAATAATAATAATAATAATAATAATAATAATAATAATAATAATAATAATAATGATAAAAATAATAATAAATGTTACTGGTAAAGTACAGTAGTTTATTAGTAGGGTGGAGTTATTAGTAGTTTATTGTGTTGTGAATTACAACACAAATATTTTCATGTAGTATGTACATGAAAATAATGGCACTGCAATTACTGGGTAATCTGGTCCGCTTAGTACTGTCAATATTATTTATAACTATAAAATAATATTAAAACATGAAAAATAAACAATAATCATTTTAATAAACAACAATTCGGTGATTATTTAAATCACAAACATACAAGAATCCATCTTTATCAAATGTTAATCCATGAGGATTACTAAACTGATCAATATTACTGCCTTTACTTCCAAACTGACTAACAAACACACCATCACTAGTGAAGACTGATATATGATGATTGACCCATTCACTAACATACACTAGACCAGTAGCTGCAGTGTCTATTGTTATACCTTCTGGATAACTAAGCTGTCCAGGACCAGATCCTTTAGTACCAAACTGACCCACAAACTTTCCATCTGGAGAGAACTTCTGAATGCGATGATTATTAGTATCAGCAACATACACTAATCCTTGACTGTCAATAGCAATGTCAGTTGGAGACTTAAACTGTCCATTAGCTGATCCTCCACTACCAAATGAATGAGAGAAGATTAGATCAGGATTCAAAACTTGTACACGATGATTATACCTATCAGCAATATAAACCTGTCCTGTTATAGGAGAAATGGCTATACCTTCAGGACCATTGAATTGTAGTGGTCCACTGCCCTCCTCACCAACTGATGCTTTACGGTATCCATCCATGCTTATCTTCTGGATCCTGTTACTATCATCAGATACAAGAATGAATTTGTCTGGAGTAATGGCTATACCACGAGGATCAGAAAACTTGACATTACCACTTCCTCTTTTCCCTCCTAATGATTTCACTTTTTTTCCTTCTCTATCCAGTAGTATTGTTACACAGTGACCAGTAAACTCAGTTACTATAACATGATTATCATCACTTACAGCAACTCCCAAGGGACCCTTAAACTCAGTTATAGTATGTACTGGAGTGATGTTATCAAGGTAAGGATTGAAAGGGATGAATAGTGAGGTATCCTCAAGGTGTACATCATATACTTGTACTTTTACTGTATGAGTACCACGTGTTGAAGGGTTACACTGTATCCTATACACTCCAGGATCAGTGCCGGTGGTAGTGACTGTAGTGTCAATGGGTTTATGGCCTTTACCAACTGGTACTAGACTACACCTCAGAGAAGAGAGGGGAATACACAAAAAAGATGAATCTGGTGCCTCCATTGATAGTGAAAACGAAGCTGCTTTGCTAATAATACGATCAATCTTCTTCACTCTACACTGCTGTAGTGCAGTAGCTCCTGAAATAATATCTCCAATGTGATGTAGTGATTTGATATCTTTACTCAATACAAAGTCACCTTTTTCCTTTGGATGTAACTCCTCCACATTGATCCCTCCAGTAACTTCACTCATACGCTCTATCATCTGTTTCTTGGACCTCAGGACATGTTGAGGACTGCCTGTCTTCAGACTCTGTTCCACATCATTCTTAACTTTCTCCAGAACACTCAAACTCATTTCTGCTGATTTCATTTGCTCTGACAGCGCCTTTAGTTTATCATCAGTGACCCTCTTTGCCTGC